GTTGTTCCCACACGGTGAACTGGGTTGGCATTTCGAACTGCGACAAGACGATGGTGGCCGGCGAACTGCTGTGCGCACACGCAACACTATCAGAGAATTTGTGTGTCACCGTCTGGCCATTCGTTACGAAGGAATCAACGTCCACAGGCATCAAAAATTCAGTCTGATACACAGTGCTGGTTTTCTGTTTCAAATGTACGTCTGCGACCAATACGTACGAATGGAAACAATCAACTTTCGGTTCATTGAAATCAATCAGCGAGCCCTATTTGCCGAAGCGTATCAGGGCCTGGTGGATCACGTCAACCAGCAGTTGCACGTTGAAGAACCTGTCTCGGTTGGATGCAGAATGATTTTGCCGTCGACCTTCACTGGAGGTCCGCGTTACATGAAACAGACCTACCAGGATGCAATGACCATAGTGCGCAAGTACGGCAAACCCGACCTGTTCATTACCTTCACTTGCAATCCTGGGTGGCCTGAGATCGTCAGCAACAAAGGAAAGTTTTCAGTTGCAAGTGACAGACCCGAACTGGTGGCAAGAGTGTTTCACGTTAAATTCAAGCAGCTCATGTCAGACACAACTGAAAACAGAGTGTTTGGTAACGTAGACGCATATGTTTACACTGTTGAGTTTCAAAAACGCGGTCTGCCACACGCACACATACTCATCATCCTTATGGTAGTGTCTTCCTTTGTACATAATCCAATAGCTAATACTGGAAACTTTCTTTCTCAATTCCAAATAGTCTCTCAATCACATTTCTAATTTATATATGTGCTTTCTGAAATCATAATTTTACATTTAAATGATATAATATAATATAATATTAATAAATATAAATAATAATAATATGATATAAAATAAAACTATTTGAATAGTTTATTAAAATTATAAGCTATCTGATATCTTCTCTCAGATTCTGATCGTGGATTTAGTAAAGTTGTCAATAAATAGCTTCGACATGGGTATCCTCCATCCCCAAGCAAAACACACTTGCCAAACTCATTATTTTAAAATTGTGCTCGAAGCATGCTATTATCAAAAATTGTTGAATCATGGACAGAACCAGGCCATCTAATACAAATTTAATGACATTGTTTTGTAAAAAAATTCATACATTTACGTTCACACATAATTTTTACATGCTGTTTTTATCGAACTACTTGCCTAGCAACTAAATTAGTAATTACAAGATTACTAGTACATACTGCTTGTACATTGATGCTGAAATATCGTTTTCTGTTTCGAAATTGTTCCCCTAACCTTTAAACTTATTTTTGATTTCGTACTTAAATAAAATAGTTGGGATACCGTGTAATATACTTAAGGCTCAAGAGTAACAACTAACAACTAGTAAGTTGCACACGTGCGTGTGCACACAGGGGTGTGTAACACAGTTACAGAGCACACTTACTAGTGCCTACAATGATCAGTATTCAGTTTAATTTATTACACATTACTACATTAGGATTGTTTTCTCTCTTTGGCCCATGTGCAACATGCTAAGTCAATTAAATAGACAAAACGCATTTTTGAATAATTTTATATACTTATATTCTTATAATTTGTAGAGTAAACTTACCTAATATACAAGTTATAGAGAATAATATTTTTGAAGGTATTGTGACCGGTGGCCGGTGGGGGGCACCAGCTTATCCGTAGATTAGGTATCCTAAGAATTATGAATATGTGTGATGTATTTTGGTCTTATGAAAATTATTGTATCAATATAATTTAATAATATATTATAGACTCGTTTGTATCGCTTTGCATGTAACCAGTTTTATTATCAATAGAAATAATAAAATATACCAAAAGATACGAAAACATCTATTTTTATATTTTTATTAAACGGCTAATATTATTGTGATAATGTTGGGTTATTACAATTCACTCGATACTAGCTAAATAAGTTAAATATAACAGATATTAGATTTTGCACGTATCTCGCATTCTCGCATTGGTCGCATTTACCTGCGTCAGGTTTAAAAGTTAATATCTTAATAATTAATGGTGAAATATGTTTTATACCTAATGTGTACAATAGGGCGTTCCTTAATTTTTGATTTTAAAATATGTTTGGTCTCACCCCCTAATTTTGTGCCTATATGTATAAAAACGAACTACAAAAAGTTTTGGTTCGATCAGATAAGGTTAACCCGTGCCGACTTGTGATTTAAGTTTGAACTTACTACATTTTTCAATATTTACGAAAATTTTCGACATTTTTGTAAATATTTCATTAACCTTTAGAAATATTGATATTTTTAATACTACATATTTTAAAGTAAATTAAATTT